GATGGTGGCTATCTAAATTTAATCAATCAATCAATATTTTTTAAAAAATAAAAATAAAATTCACCACAGGCGAGTACTCTCCAGTTTAGCAGACTTTTGTTAATAATGAACTCCTCCCTGTTAGTCCTTTCACAAGATTTCACTGTTGTTCTAAAATTGCTTAGCTGCAGAAACAGTGAATATCTTTTTCAACAATACTCACACCATCGTGCAGCTTCTCACATTTTCTCCCTCACCAACACTGGAAGAAAGATGCTCAGTTTTGGGCAGCCAATGACTGCATTGCAAAGAAACAGCTTGACAGATTTTATTGTACTAAAATACTCCATTAAGGTATCATGCTGGAGGCACAGCTGAGTTCAAGAGCAAATATCTTGAAAGTCCAGCCTCTAACATCCTAACTTACATCTGTAATCAGTACAGAAAAAAAAAATGAGCTAAATTAGCTAATGCTGTGACTCGATATAAAGGAGGCTTCATTTTATTTCCATGCAAGAGGCTCTACTCACCTCCACTGCACCCTAAACCTGGCTCTAGATTACGCTGGTCCTCTGACATCAGAGCAGCACAACAAATGGCACTGAGAGTCAGCTCAGAGAGAGAAAAGAGGTAGTCCTCGACTTACGACGCAACTGGGACCGGAATTTCCATCGCTAAGCAATGGATCGGTAAAGCAAAATGTCATGTGACTGCATTGCTTAGTGACAGCACTCCCCATTGCCGTCGTTAAGCAAATTCCACTGGTCATTAGCTGAGGACTTACCCCAATCCAAGCCATCCCGGGCTTGGTCCCCCCCAGCCCTAAGCCTCGGTTCTTCCAAGGTAAGGGACTACCTCCCCTTCAACTGCCCCCAACTTCCTATTCCCCCCATCTCTGCCCTTTGGGCCACCCTGCACCCTGCCTTGCAGGGCAGCAAGCAGCCCAAGAACCACACGGCTCTGGGGCTGCTTGCCATGCTGTGGCTCAGGGGCTACTTGGCACTGCGGCTCTGGGGCTACAAGAAGCCCCTGAGCCACAGCACGAAGCCCAGCCCCAGTCCAGCCCAAAGCCATCCCAGCCCAGTCCCAGCCACAGTTGCCCTGTGCGCTGCTGTCCCTGCCGCCCTGCTCTTCACCGCACCAGCTGACCTTCGGCGTCTTCGTGCTCCCACTGCTGATGAAGCATGCCCGCCTTGGCTCTTTGCTCTTTTCCTTTTCCTTTGTAAATGAGTCCTGTTATAAATTTTAATTGTATATTTATTTAATGTTTTAATATGTTGTGAGCCACCCAGAGTCCCCCATTGGGGGGAGATGGGCGGGGACAAGTTAAATAAATAAATAAACAAGCAAACAAACAGCTGCTGGCCACATGAGGCCATCTTTTCCAGGTCTTGTGAGGAAACCGCAGTGTGCAACCTGGGGAAGAACGCCTGGTATGGCCAAAAGCCGCCTCACAAAGGCCCAGGGCAAGCACACTTGGTCAGCAGTGGGAGCAAAAAGACGGTGAAGGTCAGCTAGGACGGCAGAGGCCGCGGAGTGCAGGGGGCCAAAAGGGCATAGATGAGGGGAGAGACAGGTGGGTGGGGGAAGTTGAAGCACCCCTGCGGTTGTAAGCACGGGCAGGCTGCCAAGCGCCCAAATTTTGACCTTGTGATTGCAGGGGGGCTGGAATGTCTGTAACTTCAGGGACCGGTCGTAAGTCCCTTTATTCAGCACCACTGTAACTATGAACGGTCGTAACTGTAACTATGAAGGACTACCTATAGCAAGATCTGACAAGCTGAAGAGTAAGCACTCAAGTTCTGCATATTTCTCAGAACAGAAACTGAGAAAGGATTGTTTTCTGTAATTTTCCCTAAAACCTTAAGAAGGCACGATGCAGGAGCTAATCTTGCTCCCTCATGAAAATCCAGATATTCAGGCTGGATTCATATCCTACCCTAAGCCAGAAGGTGCTTTACTTGGGTTATATGTGAATCCACACGTTGTGATCTGTAAACCAGGATGTATAGTTTAGCCCAGTCTTGTCCAATCTAGGTATTGGGCAGATGTCTGGACTTCATTTCTCAGGATGCGCTAAACAACATGTCCGTTGTTGAAAACTGTGGATGCTGCCATCCAGAGGATTATAGTTAGCAGGCTATGGAACATGCTTCTGTGGGTTGTTGAACTAACCATGATATGGCAGCCACTGGCTACCTTTACCTGAACATAAAGTCATAAACATCACACATCACACTAAGCCAAGACTATATCAACCATCTGCATGAACCCTGCTATCTGGGTCAACGTCTTCCAGTTTCCTATAGTTCTGTCTGCCAAATGCTAGGAGAAGGCTGAAGAACGATTCCTTTCTGGTTCCATTCTGGCGATAAAACCAATACCTCTATCTGGGTGCAAAGGTGCATGGAAACCAAATGAGAGAAGACATACCCTCTACTGGGGTCGGCATCGTAGGGATCCCGGGTTGGGAATAGCAGAGATACATCTGCTGGTCTAGGCTACGAAGGACGTGGAAAGTGGGGTGCGTGTGCTGTTGTACGAACAGGTGCCCGGCGTTGACTTGATTAACCACAATCACTTCTACCGTAACTCCATCCGGAAGCATGAGCTGCCACAGAAGAAGGAATGGAGATGTATTTCCATGCACAAGTAATGGACATTTAATTTCAAGCTACAGATTATAACACCGTATAGAAATGAGAGCAGAGCAACTTGATACCCTCCAGGCTGCATGGACTACAATATCCAAAGGCCCCAGCCAACATGGCTCAAGGGGAAGAGATACTGAACATGGTCCAAGTCACTTGGAGGAGACAAAGTTGCGTACCCCCAAATTAATACATTAATCTAGTGCAGTGTTTCTCCACCTGGGCAACTTTGAAGTGTGTGGACTTCAATGCCCAGAATTCCCCTGCTGACATGGCTTTGCTAAGAGTTCTGGGAATTGAAGTCCACAGATTTCAAAGTTGTCCAGGTTGGGAAACACTAATTTAGAAGACCATGGGACAATAACAATCTTTCAGCCTAGGCTATTTCCTGGAGCTGATATGAAGGTAAAAAGACCCCTTTAGAAAACTCAAGATTTCTCTTTATGTTGGCCTACACTGGACCACTTTGATAAGCTCAGTTAGAAAGATCCTACTGGAAATACTTTGCTGTCCCTTTTTTAATCATGGCATCCATTCTGAGTCTCTTCTAAGGAAACCCTAAATATGTGACTGTTGTTCCAGCCCTGGAAAGAGGCTGCAGACTGTAACAAGGAAGATCCTTTCTGCCATCCAACAGCCTGATCTTTTATTTTCTACCTTTACATTTTTAAGTCCCAACTCTCAGGACATCAAACCTCTAATACCAGACTTGGAAACAAGGTAATTTCACAACTGTGCAAAGCAGGATAGTTGACCAGGAGTGAGAAACCTTTGTTCATCCAAGAAATACCTTTCAGGGCTGCACCTGGTAGATGGGGCTGGGGGAGCGGGAGGATAGACCCAAGCAAGACCCCCCTTTTCTCTCTTCTTGACAGCCCTCTTGTTTTCTTGGTGATACCTTTTTTCCTCTCTTCCTTCCCACCTCAACAGAGCAGGCTGCTCATACTGAGGGTCTAAACCCTGGCAGAGAGTTTTCGAAAATAGGCCAAGGGCTGTGGGTGGCCCTAGGACTGTAAGTTCCCAACCTCCGCCATTCACACACAACTTCCCAAATCTGCACAAACGCATTAGAATCAAGACCAGAGGCATTCAGGGACAGGAGTCAAGTCATGACACGTGACGAAAGCAGTGTTGCAATGAGGCAACAGATGCCCAGCTCCTTCAGTACACGCGTCCTATCTTTACATGCATGTACAAACGGGGTGGAGGTTGTTGGGATGAAGCTTTCAACCTTTTGACAAAAGCCCTGGATTCTGCAGACGCTTCCATGTCCAGGAAAAAAATACCACCAAGAAGACATCAGGTATACACTCAAGAGCATCTAAAATGCTTTGAAAGAGTCATTATGGAGATGAGGCAAGAAAAGAAGGAGACCACATCCTAGTGCAGCCCAACAAAGCCCTTCCAAAGCCAGCATCTTCTCCAGCTTTACTAAGGCGGGACACAGGTTTCTGAGTTAGTGCTTACCCAGGAAGTCATGGGAAGGGAATGCAATGGCAATGGTGGGGGTGGTGGGGCATAGATGTTGGTGAGGCTCAGATCCTTGAACTTCTTTCCAATCAGGGTCAGTGCTTTGTCAACATTTTGCTGAGAGCCTAGGGGAAGGGAAGAGGTGAAGAAAACACAGATGATTAGAAAAGGAAGAGTCAACATAGCCTATCTCACAAAGATAGGCGAGATCTGCTCATTCAAGCAAGAGAGGAATGATTTTGCTCTGCATCCTGCATCCCAGAGTAGCCAAGTCAACATCAACGTGAAAGGAAGAATTCAATCCATCACTGGCTCCAAGGCAATTACACCAAACCCAGTGATTTCCCATCTAGACCACTGTTTCTCAACCTCAGCAACTTTTAAGATGTGTGGATTTCAACTCCCAGAATTCCCCCAGCCAACATGCTGACTGAGGAATTCTGGGAGTTGACATCCACACACCTTAAAGTTGCTGAGGTTGAGAAACACTGATCTGGACCACTCTTCCACAAAGTCTTAATTGTGAGTGCCACTCCTTATGCAGTCAATGTAAAAGAAGGAAACACCAGAGGCATGGAGGAGTCCCGGCTGATTGTGGTCTGTAAAGTATCATTTATACCAGAGTGATTTATTCAGTAAATCAGTCAAACAACCCATGTTTTAAGCCAGTGTTGTCCAAACCTGGCCACTTTAAGATGAGTGGACTTCAACTCCCAGAATTCCCCAGCCAGCATGGCTCCACTCACCTTCTATATGGCAGATCTGGAAGTCCTGGGTATAAGGTAGTGTGGAAATGTAGATTTTGGCACCAGAGACTTGCTTCAGGAAACTCACGTATCTCCCTTGTTTGCCTATCAGCCGCCCCACTAAATGCTACAGGGAAAGGAAAAAGGTGTGGGGGGGGGAATAAATAAATGAACACATTTGCAGGGGAGTCAAGCTGCCTCATTCTGCAGATCAGAAATGGCCAAGATGATCAACTGTGGAACTACATAAAACTCTTATTTATTTTTTAAATGAATGCCCATACACACCCCACAGAGCTTTCTTGGTTGTATTGACAGTGAATGTTTGTTACGTATTGTTGCCTGGCTGTTTGCCATTTTATGGCATTTATAGCTTGAACTTATGGTTTCTGTTTTTAATGGTCAGCTGCCCAGAGTCATGCATTTGAGATCGACAGCCATACAAATGTAATAAACAAGTAAGGCTGGCCTGCAGCAGTTTGCAATCCTAAATAACAATAAAACCTTTCGTTAAATAAATACACTTAGCAATAAAGTATAACAAATAACAACAAAATAACAACAAAACCTGGAAAAACCTGGGGGAAAAAAACTTCCAGAAGGAAATGGCAAGTTACAAAAATAGTTTTTAGATTATATTAAAAAAAGAAAAAAGAGGGCATCAACAGGTAGGAAATTTGCTGCACTGGAGGCCCTACAGAGAAGGCCCTGCCTCTCGCTAATGCCAGTTGGTAACACCCTCCAATGACTCTTGACTGATGAGTAGAGCTCTTGGTTAATAGTACAATAGGGAAAAATTCCTTTAGGTAGGCCGGCTGTGAGATGTAAACTGATTTATAAACTAAAATAAGCACCGTGAATTTGGCTCAGAACACAGCAGAGAGCCAGGGCAGTTAAGCCACAGCTGGTGCCACAGGTTCCCAATGAGGGATCCCCAAGAGATGCCTTAGCTAAGCAACTCTCACTCTTTGGACAACTGCCATCTAAGGCCAGCCCTTCCACCAGCCTGATGCCTTCCCAGAAATACTTTATATGGGGATGAGTCCTCTTGCCGTAATTCAGGGACAAGGAACAGGGTGCCAGCGGCTACATTGGCCAAGTTCCTTGGCTCTTTTATTAAAAATAAATAAATCATGCTGGTGTAAATAAATGCCCTCAAGCTAAGCTCCACTCCTACATGGAAACACCCATGTAGCTTGCTTGTCAACATGACAAAAGTGGCTTGCCACTTTCTTCTCTGATTTTTTGGATTCCAAATCTGGCTACAGTTCTAGGATTACCTAGCTACTTCTTCTCTAACTATTAATCAGCTCTGGCCCACTTCATAAGAATGAGGGGGGTCATCCAAGGTCAGCTAAGTGTTGCTAAAGACAGGTTACAATAGGCAGACAAGCAATAACTTCCAACATCATCTTTATATGTCTCTGGGCCCCACTTGGGCATCAAAACTAAAAAAGTACAAGAGTTGGGTGTCTGTAGCCCGCTGTGGGTCTGAAAGTGTTATCACAAAGAGAAAGGGAAGCTAATGGCACATTGGGATGGCAGAAAACATCCTGAGCTGCAGAAGAGGACTCTGGGGTGGAACGGCATCTCTTCGCTTTTTGGCAGATCTGAGTCCCAGTGATTGGACACCCCCACCAGGCACTTGTACTCCCAAAAACGCAGGTGCAAGACTTCCATGGAATTGGTATCTCAAGGGATTGGTCAATGTTGCAGCTTGATGGATTAATTTTTAATGTTTTTCTAGCTGAGTGCTTCACACATGCACTTCTTACATTAATGTCCATCTAGAAATCGTTCCTCAATTAAAAAGTGATGACGCTTGCCTTCCAAATTAATCCAAAGAGTTCCGATGTTTCTTAAAGAACCAATATTGTTCTTTAAGATAAAATGAAGATGATATTTGTCAAAAGCCCTCAAGCCCTGCTGTGCTGCCTCATTATGGTGGGGGATATTCCTGAGAGGGATGAGTGAAGAATACCAGGAGTGTATGCCAAGACTATATAGTCCCAGCAGGGTCACCCAAGACATGAAGGTCATCCCAGCTGCCCAGCTAAAGCAAGCAGGCACCTCTATCAGGCAGCAGTGATACAGAAGATGCTGGAGGTGGATGATCACTTTTATGACAATGGCAAAGGCATGATGTCATATTAAATGGCAGTGGAAGACCACTTCTGTATTTTACCAAGAAAACCACATGGGAAGACAAGATAAAGGGATTGATCACATAGTGTCAGATGATGGCACATCTTCAGGTCAGATGGCACTCAACATGCTACTGAGGAAATGCTGAGGATCTTTCAGAGTACTAATGGTGCTTATAACGTGGCTAGATGAAAACGTTTGGGATACCTAGTTGCCAATGTTGCCATGCAGGAAAAGAAAATCAGAGTTTCCAAAAACTGAGTAACAGACATGCTACTGAGGAAATGCTGAGGATCTTTCAGAGTACTAATGGTGCTTATAACGTGGCTAGATGAAAACGTTTGGGATACCTAGTTGCCAATGTTGCCATGCAGGAAAAGAAAATCAGAGTTTCCAAAAACTGAGTAACAGTGGGAACATGGGACATACAAAGCATGAACACTGGAAAGCTCAACACAGTGAAAGATGAAATGAATCAACTACACACTGACATCTTAAGTGTCAACAAACTGAAATGGACTGGAATTGGTCACTTTCACTCACAAGATCACACTGTTTGCTACTCAGGACATAAAATCCAAAACTGGAATGCGGTTGCTTTCATAGTCAGGAAGGATACAGTAAGGACAGTACTTGGATACAATGCAGTTACTGACCAAATAATATAAATCAGACTTCACATATAATCCTTTAATATGAGAGTATTTAAGTTTAGGCTCCAACCAGTGATGCGAAAGAAGAGGAAGCTGACAGGCTTCATGGTAAAGTTCAATCCAAAATCAACATCATGCATGCAAGATGTGCAGACGTGAAGAACATGGAAAATCTTCCAAAAGATTTCTGAACTCAGAAGGAGGTTCCAACCCCAAACTAGTATGCCAAAGGATGCCATGGACAGATAATAACTGATTCCAAGTAGATTAAACAAAAATGGAAGGTGTATACTGACATTTGGTACAGCAGAGATGTCAACATCCAAGATACTTTAGAAGATATTCCCTACTTACAAGAATCTCTTAGTACTAGAAGATGGGAGTTAGATCAGCACTCCAGTCATTACCAAGTCAGAAGCCTACAGGAACTGATGGAACACCCACAGAAATATGGCAAGCAGAGGAAGAAGAATCAGTGAGGGTCCTAACTAAGCTATACCAGCAAATCTGGAGAATGACACAGTGGCCAACAGACTGGAAAAGGTCAGTCTACATACTACATACCAATACTAAAAAAGGAGGTTTAACAGAATATGTAAACCGTCACACAATATCCTTAATTTCATATGCTAGCAAAATAATGCCTAGGATCATTATTCAGTGCAGATTAGAACCCTACATGGAAAGGGAGATGCCAGAAGTTCAAGGTGGCCTTACAAAAGGCCAAGGAACAATTGAGAAAGTCAACAAATGCCAAAAAGAAGTCAATATGTGCTTCACTGATGATAGAAAGGTCACTGATTGTGTCAACCATGTCAAGCTGTGGAATATGCTTAGGAAAATGAAGACCTCAGAACATCTCATTGTCTTTATGCAAAACCTATCCACAGGACAGAAAAACAGTCTGGATGGAACATGGTGAAACTCCAGGTCAGCAAAGGAGTGAGACAAGGCTATATACTCTCTCCTTACTCACTCAACCTTTATGCTGAATATATATTGAGGAAGCTGGATTGGAAGATGAGTTGGTTAAAATTGGAGAAAGAAACATCAGTACCCTGGGCTATGCTGATGACACTACTGATAACTGAACATGCGAAGAATTTGCAAGCTGTAGTAATGAAAGTCAAAGAGCACGGTGAAAAAAAAAATGGGACTAAGATTATAAGTAAGGAAGACCAAACTAATGATATCAGGCATAGCAATTCATCTTAGAACTGACAATGAAGATATCGAAGTGGTGGAGAGCTTCCGCCTTTTAGGATCCACTATCAACAGTAAAGGAATCAGTAGTCAAGAAATCCACCACAGACTAGCACTTGGTAGAGCACCCATGAAGGCCTCGGAAAAAATATTCAAATGCCATGATGTGTCTATATCTACAAAAATTGTGCAAGCACAATAGTATTCCCTGTGACATTCTATGGAAGTGAACGTTGACTCTGAAGAAGCAAGAAACAACATTAGCGCTTTTGGTGTTGGCTGCTCCTGAGAATACCGTGGACAGCCAAGAAAACAAATAAATTGTAATGCTGTGAGAATAACCTGGGAGACAGGAGGAAGAGTCACAGCCTAGACAATGGTCTGATCAGGGAAATCTGAGTTGAAAGCAGAATTGGGGGTGGAGAAAGTGTCTCAGAAGGGACTCCTTAGATTTCAAGACAAAATCTAAGTCTAAAAGTAAGGGAGAGAAGAGGTACTTTCAGACTTGCAAGATTCGGTTACCGTAACCTTACAATAAAGGTAATATTAGTATTCTTAGTTATGGTTTCCTGGTCTGGACTACCTCGAAAGGGTGACACACATGGATCATAGAGCAAATCTACCCTGAGTACTCACTTGAGGCACAAATGACCAGGTTCCAATTATCATATTATGCAAAACCCCAGATCCTTTGAAAAGTCCATAACGCTGGGAAAGGTGAAGGGAAAGAGAAGAAGACGACCAGCAGCAAGATGGATCCATTTAATTATGGCAACAATGGATGCATTATTGGAAGACCTGATGGGCCAGGTTGGGGACTGATCATCCAGGAGAAACTCTTATCTACATGGTTGCTAAGAATCAAAACACATTTGGTTACAACCGAAAACTTATTGCTAGTAGTATATTCATTGCTATCTTAATGTGCAAGAAGCCCTCAACTTTATTGCATAGAATCACAGAATTGCAGGGCTGGAAAGGACCACAAAGATCATCTAGTCTAACTCTCTGCAATGTGCAGGAAAACCACTTAAACCATCTTGAGAGATGCCTGTTAAGCCTCTTCATAAAAGCCTCCAGAGCTGGGGAACCCACAACTTCCATAAGTGTCTTTTCCACTCGTATTTGGCACTTGCCATCAGGAGTGCCTTACTTACGTTACTTACAGGTAGTCCTTGCTTAATGACTGCCCTGTTTAGCAACCGTTTGAAGTTGCGACAGTGCTGAAAAAGTAACTTTACAACTGATCCTCACGGTTACAATCATTGCAGAATCCTGCGGTCACGTGATCAATTCGGGCACTTCACAACCAGCTTCCAACAAGCAGTGTCAATGGAGAAGCCAGCAGTGAAATTGCAAGTTGTGGCCATGTGATGTTTCGCTTAATGACTGAATGAGAAGTGAGGCTGTAAGCCCATCGCAGTCATGCAACGTTTCGCTTAGCGACCGCATTGGTAAGCCTCAGAGTTGCCAGTCCCAATTGTGATTGCTAAGCGAGGATTACTTGTATTTAGAGGTAATCACATCTCTTAGGATAGCAACATTTTGTCACATGTATAGACCCAACTCAGAATGACTCTGGGTGGTGTACAATTAAAAACAAATCTAATACAACAAGAAGGCATCCATAATGGGCTTAACATAACCAGCATTTTAATACACTTCCCATAAAGGTACATGCCCCAAACCCATCACCCTGGGAAAAGAACCAGATTTCTAAGGCCTGAATGAAGAACATCAAGATCAGGAGAACTTGGACATCAAAGGGCAGACACTGAGACAGGGAAGGCACATAACTGAAGAAGTTGGGAATCCCCATTTAAACAAAATCACGACTACTAAAGACAGACCACCTTCTGCACATTACCTTTGGTATTTCTACTTCCCAGATAACAAGCTCTGCTTTATTGGAGTCTGTTCCCATCTTAGCACTCGGGCAGCTGTCATTCTTGCGGAGAGCACATCCGCTGTCCACTGAGTCCATGCTGTTCACGTCAGAGCCTAAAAAAGAAAGTGAGCCGCGTTCCTTCACTTACAGGGTGATGAAACACTGTGCCACCCTGGAGCAGCACCCTCAGGACCTGATCCTCTCATCCCACTTTCTCCTTTTAAAGAAGGAGTCACCAGAGGGGGGGAGAACAAGCTGGTCTAGCCAGGTGACGCCCCTCTCTTCCCAGCCATGATCCACACAGGGAGGGGAGACGCACTGGGAGCACCCATGCTGCTGAACAGGAGTGAAGATCAGGACCAGCCTTCGCCAACCAGGAACCTCCCAATGGGTTCACACAGCTCCTGGTGCAAAATGTTGCTATCCTAAGAGATCTGGGAGGTACCAGGTTGGGAAAGGTGGGAAGAGAGGCTCAGGGGGGAAATAACTTGGAGGAGAAGCATGGAGAAACAATCCCTTCTCATCCTACACCATGATCCAAATTCTCCATGGGCTAGGCAATCTTTCTTGGCCCTACCTACCTCACAGGGTTGTTGCTGGGGAGAAAAGTGGGAAGAAGCACTATGTATCCTGCTCTGGGCTCCTGACTGAAAGGAGGAATATAAACGTGATAAATAAATGCATAGACATGACCAGTTTGTTCATCCTCCAAGAAAGGAACATTCATAGGCCCACAAGAACCATCAAAGGTAGCTTGAAATTAGAAAAGATTAACATTCCCCCAGTTATTATGAAGTGGTAAAAACTCTAGGGTGTATCTAGCTACTGTCTCTATCAAGATACTCAGTGTAAGCATTTAAGAACAGCAAGCTATAACATATTACGAATCTTAGGGGAAAGTTTGAAGGAAGGTCCCTTTTTCCAATCAAAACTCCTGAATCCAAGTATCTAGTCCTCATTGAGGCAGCAGCAATTAGAAAAACTGGTATGCCCAGTTCCTCAGGAGGCAGAGTGGGGGAGTAAGGAAAAGAGCACAGGTTTTACATAAAATCCACAATGATTTACTTTAGATGCTATGCCTGGGTTCACATTTATTTGTTATTTTATTCAATTTGTACACTACCAGACTCCCAATGGCTTTGGGTGTTTTTTTAGTTTTTAGTATATATTTGATATATGTATGTATTTATATGTATTTATGTACTTATATAATATTTACATAAATATTTATATTTTTATATTTAGTACATATTAGGTTTTTAGTAAATATTCTACTAAACCATGGTTTACTGAACAAACCACAGTGACTCTGCTCATGCCTCATTCAAGCCTGAGCCATAAACTCCAGCTTACAAGCCACAAGGTCTCGGTTCATAATTGTATCAAGTCAAAAATTAAACCTAATTATGGCTTTACAAAAAATAGCCTATATATGTATATATACGTATTTAGCCTATATACATTTTTCAACTTTCCCTGTGCGGTTCCTCTCTTGGTATGTTGGACTACAATTCCCATTTTTCCACAGCCAATCTGGGCAGTCACCAAGATAGCTTCTTCCAAAATGTGCCCCACCACCCTCTGTGTGTATATATTATAGTAGCACAAAGAATGCCTAAAATTGTGCGCCTAAATATGCTTCTTTCAAAATGCATTCATGAAATCAAGGACACTGAAAATTTGGACCCAGGAAAGGATTGGCTTCATTCAAGATAATGAGGAGGGAGGTATCAGCTGCAGCCACTGAAACAGATCCTGGTTGATCTTAAAAAAAGCTATGCAGGATTAGATTGATCAGAACTTGGATGGGAGACCATGAGGATATCCCAGGGCTGCAGAAAGACACCAGCGAATTACTTCCATGCTGATGCCATAAATGGATGTGGATGTGCCTATATAGTTGAAAAGTTGAACACAACTATATATAGCAGTGTTGACTAGGGAATTCTGGGAGTTGAAGTCCATGCATCTTAAAGATGCTGAGGTTGGGAAACACTGCTAAAATACAGTACAGTACAGCTATATATAGGCTAATGGCAGCAAACTGGTTTTATATCAATCAATGGTTGTAATTCCAACCTCCTCATTTCTCCATTCTCCATAAATCCTATCTGATGTTTGCTTAAAAGATCAAATCCAAAATCAAGGCTCTTTTGCTCCGGCTCAAAATTGGCTTGCTTAGATTGTTAATCTTCTGGCTTGTAAGCATTAGTCAGTCCTAATGGTATCTATCTATATGCTACTAAAATTCTCGTGTCTGTAACTTTCAACTGGGCGAAACGGTGTGTCATACGGCAACAATTTTTGAACCAAGGTACCTCAAATGGGCTAACTTACAGAATGTGAGCAAAATCTGGGGCCCATTATTCCCGTGGGATTGAAATTTGGGAAATTTGTGGCTGCTTCAGCACTGCTGTGCTGCTGTGTTGCCGTGGTCGGCCCAGGTCATGTGATCGTCATGGGTGTATCCAAGACCTCTTTCCCACCTCCCTCTGTCCCCTGCACCCAATCCGCTGGTGGCAAGGCCCGACAGGCAAGTGGCAATTGGCTGCTTTGGAAACGAGGCAGAAATCTGAAATCTCTTAACAGCTGTGGGTGTTGAGGGAAGGATGAGGGAGTGACTTGGATGCCTGCTGGTGAGGCAGGGCTGGCTGGGGGGCACTGGAATGGGGAGCAGGGGTGCAGTCTTCCCCATGGTTTGTAGCTCCCTTTGTTCCACCTCCCCCCAGCAAAGCAGCAGGCAGTTCCACCGGTCAGTTGAGAAGGAGGAGGCGGCGGCTTCACAGGGGCTCTCCTGAGGGTCGTGAGGAGAGGGCAAATGGCACAAGTATTATATGTGGGTAGGAGGGAAGGAGGGAGGGAGGGAGGGAGGAATGAAT